TAAAATAAGAAATAACGAATAATATGGAAAATTTTTAACTGACTTTTGGCAGTGAATATGCCTTGATTTCAACTTCGAAACAAAAAAATATTTAGTTTCAATCTCTATTAATAATGAGCGTAAAACTTTTTAATATGTTTAAATAATAATTAAAACTTTAAAATTGCATTTATTTCAGACAATTATAAATATTATCATTATATTATCAAGTAAAAACGAGATTTTCAGCTAATTTTTCATTTTTTCCTCGATAACCATTTAGTGAATTTGAATAACCTTACGCTAAAGTGATTCTCCAGAGTTCAAGTTACTTATTATAAAAAGTTTGAAATTTCTGGTAGCTTTCTTTCTGTTAATAAAAATAAATTTAATCTGTTCGGTTAACGAATCTCCATAAAATGTCGTGTAAAATTACAATTTTTTAAAATTTCAATAACTAGTGTTATCGATTTGTAATTTTTACAGGAGTTTTAGAATTGAATGGGGAACGTTCTTCCAAATTTTTATTTGTTTCGTAACATTTTCACATACCTCCCAAACGTCCTTAAACAATTAAATGTTTAAACCGCTATAACTCCGTTAAAAATTAGTCAAATACGTTACTTTTTGCATCAAAATTTGCAGCAGCCTAAACGGAATATTTTTTTGTATCTAATTTTCCGCGAATTTTGAGGTCTTTTGCCAATGGGCTCGGAAAACATTTGTTCTGTGAGAGATATGAAAGAAAGTCATCAATACGTTTTTTTTGTAAAGTGGCACTGTGAAAAACTTTTATTGAAACTTTTTCCATATTTTTCATATTTCGCGAGATAATCGAAATTGCAATCATTTTTGCAGATCCCCTCCTCCCCATGCTGAGCATATAATTTTCATTTACATATTCGTGTTTCTCACGAAATTTCCGATAAAATGACCCTTGTTTCAATCATCTTTACCATTATAAGGTACTCTTCAGTCATTTCCCTCATTTGACTGGACTATAAAGAGATTGCAAATCATCACGTACTACGTGCATTTTTTCGATGCTTCGAAATGTACCGAGTGGAACAATATTTATGCCGTTTTACAAACAAGAATCGTTATGTTAATATGTGTCTATTGGCCAAAAATTGTACCAAAGTTAATAAAGTGGGTATACTCTATCCCCAATAAAACTAAAACAGTAAAAATTTAATGTAATAAAAAGTTAGTTATGAATCAATTGTTATTTACAATAAACTAGTGATATTTTACTAAAAAATCAGTAATCAAAGCATTGTTCTATTAAAGCAACATTTATAACTAATGTGTTAGTTAATTTGTACTAATGTAATCAGTTACTTAATTAAAAAAGTACTGGTATTTTTCGTAAGTTGTTTGCAGTTAAGAAAGCATTATTACAATTTAAAACTATCCTTTGTCCTCGAAATTCTGATGCTTCAGCTAATTTTTTAACTGAATGTAGGCATAAGCATGTTATTGTAATAATGGCATAGATACTGTTCCCAGGTTCGTACATTACAAGTACATTTTTCGGTGAACTTTAGAGTAATAAAACTTGTGTAAGGACGTTAGGTGTTTCTTAAAGAAAACAGAAATCTTTAAATGTCATCTCTTTTACGCTAAAACGCCATATTTTTGTAATAAATGGTACAAACGTCTGCTAATAAAAAAAAACCAAATCATAACGAAACAAAGGTATCCGAAAATCAAGCGACGTTTTATGTTCGAATAAAAGAAAGAAACAAGCATCAACTATCCAGTTTCTCGTGTCGGAGTTCGTTATGGTTCGGCGTTTTTATTAATACTTCTCGGCTTTATTTACCAAAAGGGTCCAAACGCTTTTATTGTGTTAATTGTGTTGAAATGTAGCTTTTTGTCCCACGAACGCCTTTCAAAACGTTACCTTCATTTCTCCGCGATAACCGTTTTACGATCGAATGTATTTCTTTTTATTTCTTTCTGGAGTCGTTTCAACTTTTAGGGACAAGCTGCAAGTAATCTTCATGAATATTTTCTTCCTGAGAAATTTAATTTTCAACTGCGGCTTTCCTAATACTAAAAAGTGAAAACCATTTAAAAAAAGTGTTTTTTTTTTCCAGTTAAATTTCATTTGACGCATTGAAACTAAAAGTTTTGAAAAAGTTTTAGACATAAGTTGTATGCTTTTGGAAAGAAATGTTTTCGAAGGGGAAATTAGCTGGTGACCTTGGATGTGATTTTGACCTTGTTTCACAATAAATATATAACTGATCAAACAAATGCAAATAGAATGTTTTAATAAGAAACTTAAGGAATAGCGTTAAAATGAAGGTAGCGTTCTATAACACAGTGCTATGATTTGTAATTTAATAAAAAGCCCTAAGACTATTTACATACATAAGAAGCAAACCTATTATTTCAAAAATAATCTCCGATTGACAAAAAGTTCGATTATTTAATTGCTCAATTCGATTTTTCCTTAATATTAAACCTCGTTAATTGTAAATACATCGACACCTACTAACGATAAGAAATCAAGTGCTTAAACAACGGTTTTGGGTAAATAAAATAAATTCAGACAAGCACTGAAATGCCACCCAACAGTTAAAATGCTCAATTCGAAGTATTTCCATATTTATTTGAAATAAAATGAGCTTTTGAACGCTAAATGGTAACTGAAATTAAAAGCATAAAAGTAATTACCTTCAGTAACAAAACAACTAAAAACTATTTCAGTTACAGGAAAATTTTGACAAAAATAACCTACTTCAAGTAGATATACTGTAATCCTTTGGTATTCTTTCTACGAATATATACATAAAAAATTGCTTAATAGTAGTTAATATCTAATATTAATGTGAAACGTGGTTTAATTTTTATGTACTGGAAATTACCTCAAATTAATGAGGAAAATTGTTGCTGCTGTCACAATTTTCCTCATTAATTATTAAATGATTTTCACACCACTATTAAAAATTTTTTGAAGTATTTCATTTGATATTAATATATACATGCATTAGTTCGACGAATCTATGAACTAAAGTATTTTCATCGCATTTTCAGAGCAAAGTGCGTCACGGGTACCGGGTTCGATTCTCGGCGAGGGCGTGAAAGCAACAACAATTTTCCTCATTAATTTGTAGTAGATAAAAATTAAATCAATTTTCACATTAATTAATTGTTAATTAAAGTTTTCCGAAATAAACTTTTTTAAATCCGTATGCCTCCCAACCGACTAAATTGAAAAGAATTTAAATTATTTCTCTCCGCATCTAAAATTCCCTACTGATCGATGCAATTCAATCTCTACTTTGCCAATTTCAATATTAATTGACTCCGAAAACATCACAAATTAATTCATTAATTAAATTGGACGGCAATCGTTCTAATGAATTTATTAATTGAATGTTAAACGTATTCATTAAATCTTCTGCCTGCCATGAATTATATTTGTCGATGGACTATGTATATTTCGTTACAAAATTTTGCTTGTAACAAATACACTTATTTTCCGAAATTGGTTTTACTTTACCCTTAGATCCCTACATTATTTTTGACGTGACAACGTCTTATAATTCGATGGAGCCGCCTGCACGTACGAAAAAACATGACTCATGCGGCGTTACCTCGCTCTGAGGCGTTCCATTTAAGGCTTGAAGTGCAAGCGAGAGCGCGGAACGAGCGACAAAGAGGCACAATCGGCCTCCGCGTTCGGCAGCGTTCGACATCTGTCTCTCTCCTACTTAAGTGAGCGATGCGTCCGCGTGGACAGCTGCTATACAATAATACATTTCCATTTACCTCTTTTTCTATATCCATACAAAATATCTATCAAACAAATAAAATTAAAATTTTCTTTTGAAAAATGAAACCATTTCATCAGTATTTTCTTATGACGTTGTCACGTTCAACTATCGTCAGTAAACCGACTTTACAGACAACCGATTTTTTAAATAGTTCGGCGTTCATGTGTATGTAAATAGTCATAAACTATAAACCTGCCATTCGATACAACTTGTAAATGCTAATTTAAGTGTAAATACGTCGTAATATATATATATATAACAGAGCTTTCTAATCGGTGTTTCAATTACTATTAGGTACACACTCTACAAACTATTATTATACACATGAATAAACGCACTGTAAATACTCGACCTAGAATGTATTGAAATATATTTATCAACAATTTATTTTCCACAATTAATTGAATAGGGACATGCATTGTTACGTGAATGTATCTAAAGCTTTTGTTTTCGATGTTATGTAAGTAATAAACACTCAATATCTACATGTACTTATATGTAAAATAATAATAAAAATCTTTTTATGATTGTAAGAGAAATGAAGAGATGATTCTTATTTTTTTTTTATTATTTAAAAATTTGGTAATATTCAAGAGAATTTGTCTAATATTCTGATACGTTCTGGAAACTAATTTCAACAACAATAATTAAAAATGATACTGTTATGTACTTCACATTTATATTATTGTTAGAGGGTGAACGTCTGTCGCACATGACATTATTATTCGGAGCAAAAGCCAAAAGCACAACATAGGAAACGAATTATAAAGCCACTTTCACACAGT